TCTGCTCCCACTACTCTATGGAACAAAGCAAGCTGTGTACATTTGGTTCCTTTCTGTATTCCCAACTGGGTTACCATCTCTTTGATGGAAAGAGTGGAGTCTTTTTCTCTCTCTGCTCGCAGCAAACGATTGATACAGAGATTCACACAAGGAAGCTTGTTAAACTGAACAGCTGAACTGAAGTTAGGGGGAGCAGGAGGGTCCTAGCAAAGTAAACCTTGACATGTGTGCCAGACCAAACACTTCATTGTGAGGAAAATAGCAATTCTGTTGTGCTGTTAACAGTTGGGTTGCAGACAATAAACATGATCGCTGAGTTCCATCCTTGCTTGTGTGAATTCTGACACAGTGAGCTCAGACATGACCGTTGGCAGCTTTGGACCGTGGTGGCTCATTCTGTTCTTTAACGAGATGGAAGGTAAAGTGGTGGGGTTACAGCCACCACAAACGGCTTTTTTCCTAAGGAAACTGCTGTGCCCTGCATGTGTGCACGCATGAGCGTGTGAGTGTGTGCACAAGTGTATGTGACTGTGTGCATGAATACATGTGTGTGAGTGTGTGCGCACAAGTGTTTGAGTGTGTGTGTGTGTGTGTGTGTGTGTGTGTGTGTGTGTGTGTTCGCACGCATGCACAGCACAGAAGAGGAATCTAGACATTCAACTGGAGGCATAATTGTAGCCTTTGCTTAGCAGCACTGATGGATGGTAAGACACGTTCTGCTGTGTGGGAAGGATGACTTTGAAGGAATGTCTCTCGGACCACTTGACTGTGAACTTGGTCAAAAGTGAGTCATTGTCTCTAATAGGGAGGTGGCTTCTTCATTGGGAAGACTGGTTTGCTGAATCCCAAGAATTAGCCTCTGGGCTCACTGAAATTAAATGTGGGTGTCTGATGTCATGTGTCAGCCATTTTTCATCAAGCCCCATCTTTCTCATGGGGTAGATTCCATGCCCAATTCCTATCCAAGTCTTCCTGTAGGAGAGACAGATTGAACCAGTCTCCCCTTTGTTCTCTGAAGTTCACCGTCCTCCAAATAAGCATGCCAAAAATCGTGTAGTGTCAGGAGAAGGACACTTTGGTGGCACAGTTTCAGTTAGGGAAATCTAAGGTTCAGACTCATGGGAATCCTCCTCTCCCAGAACATAAAGTGTTGGGATTATAGGTGTAAGTCACAGTGACTGGCCTTTTTCCTAAGATAACTGCTGTTTTGAGAGAAGGAGGGGGGATTGGACATCAGGACTAGGTTTACATGTGCACTTGGCAAGGGATCTAACAAGGAAATCTATTTCCAGATTTCTGTTTTTTGATCTTTCAAATATCTTATGACTAGATTCTTAGGTGAAGTGAACACTCTCATCTTACAAGTTTGTTCTTGGCATGGCGAGGAGCTGATAGACAGACTGGCTCTAGGTTCCAAGAGTCATGTGTCTAACAGTGGTGATTATTAGAACAGAGATTTCTAGAATAGAAGTGTTCATTCTGATGGAGGCTAGGTGTTTAACGTCATTCTACTTCAGATAACAGGGTAGACTTAAGCAGAGTGACAGATTTCTAATTATCTATTTTTCAATATACCTCTGTATTTAAAGGGAAATACATCTTCATTTGCTTGGAAAGACCTCAAGTGGCAAAAACTTATTAAAAGGAAAATATAAAACACACATCATTTTTTATTTCTATGAATGAACTCCATCATCTAGAGTCACAATTTTCTGTGTCCTTCCAGGAAGTTTCTATACATGTATTGTGTATGTGTACATGTATGTGTATGACAATTTGGGGGAGTGCATCATAAATCACATCATCCTATAAATAGAAATCAGAGTCTCAACAGGAAACAAGTGGCATTCTTGAATTAATATAACCTGAAGAGGATGTAGATAATTACAACAATATCCTCAACAAAGATCTTAATACAGATCAGATTGATCCAACCTTCCCCAAGGGCATGTGGTTAGTGGTCAGGAGTTGTTACATACCCTGAGAATGTAATTTCCTATGTCATTTCTGGGTACCCTTTTGAGTTTGATATTTACTTCATTTTGTGTGTATGTATATGCTCTGTGTATGTGTTCACGAGTGCATGCGTATGTCTGGATGAGTGTGCATGTGTACAGGTGGCATCGTGTGTGTCTCTCTCACAAAACATCTCTACATGTGGAGGCCATAGGTTGCTATGTGTGTCATTCTCAATCGCTTTCCACCTACTTTATCTTAAGACAGGCTCTCTCCCTGAACCGAGACATACTGATTTGTCAAAGCTGGCTGGTCAGTGAGCTCTGGGGATCTGTATTTTTACTTAAAAATCTACCATAATGTTAATTGAATGTAATTGGTATTATCTGCCATGAATTATCATTCATTTATTTGCCTATCAAAAATACTTACATTAATTCAGATTTTTGCTATTACAGGCTATGGCACGTGTTTATTGTAGAAAAAAATTTAGCGCACTTGTACCAATTGCCAGTAAAATTAAACTGTTAGAGAATTACTGATTTAAAGAATAATTGGATTTTAATGAAGATAGGTACTATCAGACCACCATCAGATTTTTGATATGTCCTCAGTCACCCCTGGGCATTGATGTCATTTTTATCACTTAAATCCCTGCCATTCTGATAGATTAAAAACCACAAACTGTGCCTCTTTCATTGTGAGACCTGATGACCCTTTTTTATACATTCATGGAAGAGTTGGTCACGTCTGTGTGCAGTACTTGTAATATGTTACTCAGTTTTCTGTTTAAATTCATTCATATATAAGAATGTGGTAGGAATCCAAGCTTGCTTTTACCAAATGGCTGGCCAATCTTCAAGGCAGTATCGATTGGATCAGCTTTTATCATTGGTTAAAAATGTCTCCTTTAATCTTGCATGTGCCTTCAAATGGACTTGGATTCATTTTTGAGCTCTTTGAAAAATCCTGTTGCTTTCTCTATTCCTGAACCAATAACCACTTATTTCTATTATTAAAAGTTTGTAATGTATTTTTAATATTGGTATTAGTGTTTCCATTATTCACAAGAGATTTTTTTAAGTTCTTATTTGTTTATTTTTGTTCATGTGTATATGTGCGTGCCTTCATGGATTTATGTGCATCATGTACATGCAAGTACCTGTGGAGGCCAGAGGGTGTGGAATCCCTTGGAAATGGAGTTACAGGAAGTTGTGAACTTCCTGTTGTAGGTTCTAGGAACAGAACTCAGGCCCCTCAAGAGCAGTAGGCATTCTGCACCATTGAACTCTCTCTCCAGCTCCTGAAATGTTTTCCTTGAATTTTGAAAGTGTTTTAAATAAACCATAAAATCATCATGTCTCATTCTAAAAATATCCTGTTGAAATTTTGACTAACCCTTGCAAATTATTTTGGAGGTAGGCACAAAGCATTGTGTATAAATGTAAAAACAAACAAACAACAACAAAAACCCCTGAATACCTGTTAAAGAGATGACATGTTGCCATATATTTAACAATGATTAAATTACAATATATATCACTGAGGAGAGAAAGGATGTTCTGGTATAACCTGCTTTGTATTGGAGGACTCCCCCAAAACAGTACTGGGAGCAGAGACAGGAGGATTGCTGGGATTGGCTGGCAGTCAACCTACCTTCCAGATTTAGTGAGAGGGATCCCATTTCATAGGACAAGGTGTAAAGTGGTAGGGCAGGACAGCCAATGTCTTTCTCTGGCCTCTGTGGTTGTAAGGACAGATACCACCACCCCCAATACTCACCATCTGCACATATACCCACCCCCCACATACACAGATAAAGTATGTCACAGAGGATGACAGTGTCATGTGTCTAATCTTTGTGTCTATGCAGCATAAAGAGGCATAATAGTACATGTTTAAACAGTAAATGTGAAAATGTATGAAGATGATAAAAACACAGTTTGGGGTTGTGGTTACTTGCAGTGACCTACAGAAAGGACATAGCTAAGAGGCAGACACAGGTTGTGTTTCTTAAAGATAAGATGGAAGGAGATGTGTGGCTTTACTTCCCATATACTTACCTGCTTGTTGTCAATGTTGATAATTGTTTTTTTTTTAATTTAAAAAGTCTGTTGAGCCCATAAATTAGCCTCAGATAGGAAAAGAGCCTCATTCTCAGATGGGCAATGGTATACCATGTTTTCTGTTCTCTGTGTCTCCTCCTCAGGGGTTAGGTTATCATTTCCCTTAACACCTTGTGTCAAGACTTCTTAAATATTTATGTAATTATCAACTCACAAAACTGCAAACATCAAGCCAGGGTTGAAATGGACAAACATTTGCCTAATTGTTTAAAGATGAGTGCCTTATCTATCGGAGAACTCACAGAGAATTAAATGGATTTGATTAGGTAAAGTTTAAAAAGGAATCTTAGTGTTACTAAAATGTGGTAGAAACAAATCAAATGACAAAGGATAAGATAGAGCAAGATTTACAATACTGTGGTAAAGGATTCATATATACAACCATGTTAAACGTATATAAATGTTTGCACCCATCAATAAAAACAAAAACAAACAAACAAATCCTAACATCCCAGTGTCCAGTGGGGTGCTAAAAACTTGAACAGGAGATTAGGAGATTAACTGAAGAATAAATTCAGTCACAGAGAACAAAACAAGCTTAATCTTATTAAAGTCATTTAAAATGATGAGGTGAATAGTTTAATAACATGATAAATAAGGAAGATTAAAGGTGACATAAAAATACTGGCAAGAGCCATAAGCAAGCACTCTCCTACACTGTTCAATTAAAACTTTGGGAAAGTAGTAAGAAAACATCTCCAGAGCCACAAGTAATTTTTAAAAGTACTATCTCTTCTATAGTGTCATCCAGAGCAAACAGGAAAAAAAAATCACGTAAATGTTAGTCTGCGTGGAAGTCCGTCTGAGTTTTTATGTTTATTTTCTCCACAAACTCAAGGACAATGATTTAATCAATACCCTCTCTCTTTGATAATGTTTTCATGGCATCCTTGGTCGTTACATCTGTGCTGCTCACAGCCCTGTCCTCCACGTTAAAGAGACTGAATGCAGACCCAGTTTGACGTCCTCAGAACAGCACATAGGATGGAATTATGTTGCAAAACTCTGGAAGCCTCTGCCTGCCATGCCCGCTCTGCTGTTGACCTACTGGTGGGCTGTCTGTTCCTCTGTGATCTTTTCTTACTCCACATCAAGTGAGAAGCTTGATCTTGGATGTGTGGCTTTTGTGAAGTGTGCCAAGGCGGTATAAAAACTGTTGCAAGAGAAGGGCGCTGGGGAGGAACATTCCCTTTATTCTTGCTAAGAATATTAGTTTCACATTTTGGTCTTTCAAATACGAACTGAAGCAATGTGACCTAGTGCATGTATTGCAAATATTCCAACATTGCCCTTTCTAACCTTGTGTGAGGGAGATGGGGTTTTCCATGGAAGCGAATCAGGGTTCCCAAAAGAGAGCAGTTAGCCATAGGGTAGGAAACTTGATTGACATTCGGCCTGATGAAGACTAATGAGCCTGGAGTCAGAGGCCCTGGGGAGCCATGGGATGCTTCTACTTTTGCTGGTGAGCCACTCTCGGTAAGTGGTCAGATGCACAGAACCAAGCACTTCAAATTATGTTGGTTTCTCCAGGAAACCACTGCAAATTCTAGTGGCTTAGGCAGCAGCTATGGAGTCCTGCAACCTGACTATGATGGACTTGAGTTCATTTTCAGTACAAAGGGGGCCAGGTTGAACTTTGTGTACCCGTAAGAGCTGTGGCCCATTCTCAAGGCCAGATTAGGGGCTCCAGCAGCGGATATCTGAGGAACAGCTATGCTGGGTGGGGGATAGAGCTGAGAAACACTTACTGTATAGCTCTTCTTGATGACCCTTTGTTTTCCATAGAATGGAAACATTTCCAGAAACAACTGCAGAGACATCCATGGGAAGGTAGCCTGGGGCACCTGGGCTCTCTTCTAAGCATGAAGAAAAGACACTGCCAGAGACTCTGCAGCGTGATGTCCTGTTGAAGGGATGCTCTTGAGCATTCTTATCGGAATACGGAGAACTTCGTTTCACTGAACCCCTTAAAGGACTCTTAGGTAATCTGGGTCAAAGTCTACAGAACTTCATGTCCCCACAGGACTCCTCACTGCTGTGTTCAAATGCTTTTCTTTCTTTACTCACAGATAATCACAAACAAGGCCAAACTCCATCAGTGCCTTATGTGGCTTCTATCAGATGAAAAATATCCTTCAAAAGTTACTTTTTTTTCTCAACATGACTGAAGATATTAAAGAGCTATGAAACTGAGAAACATTCCAGGACTTTTGGTCCCTTAAAATATGAAAAGTGGTTTGAATAGTCACTTGCCGTTTTTAGCGTGTCTTGTCTAGAGTCACAGATGCCTCCTCTTTCCCCCAGAGTCTGATGCAACCCATGATGAGACCTACATACAGTTTCCGTAGTGAGCCTGGCCATAGAGCCTCATGCTCTGAGCGCTGCAGACCCTCCCTGGGAAGAGCTCGCCTGGAAGGAAATTACTCTGAGATGAGCATGATGATGCTGGGCCTTTGTCATTTTTGAAGGACTCTCTTCTCTGGGCAATGTGACAGTTTCCAAAGCAGCTTCCCTGCTGGGTACAATAATCAGAAGCTATTTGAGGGAGTCCCCAGTGTGGCACCCAAGGGCTTTGACAAATCGGACAGGAAAAGGTTGAAGATGTGTGTCCTCACATTTTCTCCTCAGGTGGATAAGGAGATTGTAGCTGGGATTTTCAAAAGTCAGAAAAAAGACATTCTTTCTCAGCTTTGGTCCCTGGATGGGGCTACCAGGACAATTTAGCCTGTCATTTAGAAAAACAAGCCAGTCGATAATTCCACTGCACAGATACCTACTAACAGCTGCAATTATATGAACGTAGCATATCCAAATGACCATGAACTAGTGTAAAAGGCCCCCAGATCTTAGCAGACTCTGAGACCTTAGCGCAACTAATGCACTATTCTGGCCTTAAAACCCAGCACATAGACCCCAACATTTGCCTCGGTGGGAAAAGGGTTTCCTGTGCAACCATAAGGACCTGAGTTCGAGTCTTCAGCGCCCACATCAGAAGCTGAACATTTGCAGTACATACCTGCAATTCTGGCCGGGGAGGCAGAGCCAGGAGTATCCATCCCTAGGGCTTACTGTCAGCCAGTGGGAGACCTCGCTCAAAAACTAAGGTGGAGTATGACTAAGGAAGACACTTAACATTGTCTCGGCCTCTGTGTGCCTCCTTCCCTGGATCCTGTTCTTAGGGGAAAGGGCTTCAGTTGTCATCGATAAGGTATCAACTCTGGACTTTTCATAGATGACTTTTGCTCATTTTTAGTAACTTCATTGAGATAGGTCAATTATATTATTTAAGATCTACATCTTGATGTTTTAAATATGTGTATGCATTGTGAAATTGTCATACTCAAGCTAATTAATATTATTTTGTATGGTCTTTATTATGCTGCGACAAATCACTTCTTCTAAGTCTAGTTTCCTAGAAATGTTTTTTGTGAAGAACTTGAATTTTGTTGATTTTTTTTTTCTGTAGCAATTGGGATGGTTGTGCAACATTTATCTTTCATCTGGTTAATGTGGCGTATTACCTGCAGTGATATTTTGTTTATGCTCTAGTGAATAAAGCTTGCCTGGAGATCAGAGGGCAGAGCTATCCACTAGTAGCTACAGAGGCCAGACAGTGGTGGCTCACACCTTTAATTCCAGCACTTAGGAGGAGGAAGCAGGAAGATCAGGAGTTCAAGTCCACCCTGGGCTACAAGAGATTGATCCAGTCTAAAAGAGAAACAGAGCCAGGCAGTGGAGGCTCACGTCTTTGATCCCAGCACGAGGAAGGTGGAGACAGTAATACAAGGTGGGAGAAGAGAGGAGCTTGGCCCCTTTCCGTCTGAGGATTCAGCAAAGGTAAGAAGTCTCTTTAGTGGCTGCTCCTTTCCTTCTCTGATCTTCCAGCATTTACCCCAATATCTGACTCGGAGTTTTTATTATTAAAACCAAGTAGAATTCGTGCTACAATTACCCAGGTTACATTTATTGTCTTCAGTTGAGCCATCCTTGCATCCCAGGAGAAACTCAGACTTAGTTTTTGCGTTTGATCATTTTAACGTGCTGTTGACTTCAGTTTACAGAATGTAATCGAGGAGCTTGGCATCTATGTTCACTGGAGACATGGCCTGTGCTCTCTGTTAAACTCTTTGTCTTTGGTGATAGTGGCCTCTTGAAATCCATTTGAGAAATGTCCTTTCTGTTTTCAATTGTTTAGCAGAGTTTAAGAAGGATGGATGCTAATTCTTCCTTAAATGTTGGTAGACTTCAGTAGAGACACCTACTTGGCCCTGGGTCTTTGATTACCTCTTCAAACCCCTTATTTTTTTTATTATCTTGTTCAGATTTCCTCTCCATGACTCATTATAGGGAGGTTATATAATGTGAGGAATTTATCCATTTCTTTTGGGTTATGTAATTTGTTGATATAAAATTGCTCATAATAGTCTTATGATTCCCTTTTCCCTGTGGCGTCAGATGTAAGTCTGCTTCTTTTACTTCTGGTTTTATTTATTTGAGTCTTCTTTCTTTTGTTTTTAGTTAATCTAGCTGAGGGGTTTGTCAAATTTATCTTTCCAGAAAACCAACTCTTGGTTTCATCGATTTTTTTCCTATTGTCTTTCTATTTTCAACTTCAATTATTTCTGCTCTAATCTTTATTATTTCCTTCCTTCTGCTAACTTCGGGCTTAGTTTGTTGGAGACTTCAATACTCCACTTTCAATAATGGATAGAACATCCAGACAGAAAATCAATACGGAGACAGCAGACTTACACAACCCTACCGACCAAATGAGCCTAATGGACACACACAACATTCTGTTTCAGTTTTTCTTCTGTGTCTCTGCCTCCCATTCAACTGTTTAAAGGAGATCAGACAGAAGAAAGGGGGATTTTCCATGTCACAACTTATGTATTAGCTTGTTAGAGCTCCCATAACAAAATACCATGGGCTGGGTGCATGAATAACAGAAATATATTCTCTCACAGTTCTGGAAGGTGGAAGTCTGAAGATAAGGCATTTCTCCGGTAGTCCCTTCTAATTGCTTACCGATGGCCATCTTCTCTCCAGGTCCTCACCTGGCCCTTTTCTCTTGGTATCTGGCCCTTCTTCCTCTTATAAGGATGTCAATCACATTGGATTGGGGCCCTACTTTTAAAACCCCATTTAACCATTATTACTTCCTTAGAGGCCCCATCTTATAACACATTCACATTCTGTGGTGTCTTAGAGTCTGGGACTTGAATGTGGAAACTTTGGAGAGATAAAACCCAGCTCAGGGGCTAACATCAACCTCTCCAACTCCTATCATGTTCCACCCACACACTCAAGTTAAAAGCCTCTTTTTCTTTGATTGTTATTATTGTATACACACACACACACACACACACACACACACACACACACACACACACACACACACGCCAATCCAAACTGAGTCCGTTTCAAGGCTGACCACTCTTCATTGGACAACCAATAAGGGACTCATCCCTGGGAGAAGCTAATTCTCCTTCTCCCAACTAGTCACTAATTGCTCATAGTTATTAAAGGCAAATGCACATACACATGTCAGCCAGTGACTTACACCATTCATGGAGAACCATGGAAAGTAGGGGTGGTGGACCACAGGGAGGGCTACAGCAGCCACAGGAGACTGTGATGAACTGACGTTTTGGGGAAAGGCACTTCTATGTTTCTAGAAATACAAAGACAAGATGGTCCTCACAAGTCAAATAGATGCTAGAAGTCAGTTCTCGGTCTCACACAGCCTCAACAACATTGTTGTATGAGGCCCTGGGCTGAGGAATGAGAATACAAGGTCTTGCCCCGAGTTTGGCCGTCTTCTGGGAGAAGGGTGACATCAGGGTAAGTCAGGAATGATACTGTATTTGACAGGTAATGGAGTTCACAACAACACCAGGCATCTGCCATTGCCTTGTAGGGAGCTGTGTCTCCTAAAAGCCCTGCTCATGGCTCAGAGTTCAGTGGTACGCACAGAACATTGCGGGCACGCCTGGCTTCATCTCCATCTCCAGTCTTCTGAAGCTCTCCTCACCTAAGTTCCTTTTCTGACAGCCCTGCTTTGATGGGGCGCTTTAGCCTTTTCCCTCTCTCTTTAGTACACATAGTGCTCAAATTTTAAGGTCACGGTGGCAGGACCTTGTCTTTTGTATTTCCTTCTTTGCAAAGTTCAGCCTGCATGTGTGATGCCCTTCATCCACCATGAATGTTAATCAGTTTGGGCTTCAACCACAACAGACTTTGACCTGATAATGTCCAAATTCTGACAACTAGAATGCAAAGCCATTGTCCCCAGCAGTCTATCATTTCCGCTAATTGCTCTAATATGCTGGCTCCTCTTTTTGATTGTGTGCCCTTTAGAAGAAGACCATTGATACATTAATTATAGCTTTCATCGGGAGGTTCCAGCATTTCTAAACACTTATTTGGACTTCATGCCAAACTGGGAATAATTGGCTATAAGAGGATCGTGCTGGGTTAGATACTGAGATGGGGTTTTCAGATATTCCACCTTGGTATAAATAGCCCCATTGGCAGCCCAGGCACCTCATGGCTTTGTGCAGCTCGAACAAGTCCATTTTCTGCTCAGCGATAACACAGGCTAATAGATGATGGTCTGAGAGAAAGTAACCTTCAAGCTTGATGGTTTAGACAAATTTTCTAGTTCAGTGCTTCTCAACCTGTGGGTTGCAACCCCTCTGGGGGTCCCATACCAGACATCCTGCATATCAGAAATTTTCAATTCATAACAGTAACAAAATTACAGTTATGAAGTGGCAACAAAATAACTTTGTGCTTGGGGGTCACCACACCATGAAGACTTTGTATTTGAGGGTCACAGAGTTAGGAAGGTTGAGAACCAACTTCTCTAGTCCAAGAGTGCAGAAGGTGAGAGGTAAAGTCCTGTCTTGGAGATAGAGATGCTAGAGTATCCCAAACCCAGGGCCAAGATACATGTCTTGTTCTTTTGTGCAATACATTCTCGAAAGCTGTGTCTTGTCAGTGTTGGATGAGGGGAGGTTGTTGAGATCAGGATAGCCCATTTGGAATCTAGCAGGTAGTGCCCTGTTGGAGATGCTGTCCCTCAAAGTCAGGAGTGTGCTTCCTGGGGTCTTTGTTGGCTGTTCATCTTGGGGGCCCTGATAGTCACTGTCTTACTTTGTGGGGAGCCCCTGCCTTTCTTTCTCTTCCCTTCCCTCCTGGCCTGTGCATATTTCTGCAGGTTCCATGAGGTAACTGCACTCTTCTCTTCTCTATGGTTTGTTACCTTCCCCTGTGAAACTACAGATAGAGAATTGCAAACTGAACCCTCAGTTAGTGTTGTATTAAAAAGGGGATGTTGGCTGGGCGGTGGTGGCGCACGCCTTTAATCCCAGCACTCGGGAGGCAGAGCCAGGCGGATCTCTGTGAGTTCGAGGCCAGCCTGGACTACCAAGTGAGTTCCAGGAAAGGCGCAAAGCTACACAGAGAAACCCTGTCTCGAAAAACCAAAAAAAAAAAAAAAAAAAAAAAAAAGGGGGATGTTGTCCAGAGATATTTCCACATTGTGTCCTTCTGGAATGTCACTGCCAATCCAGCTGCTAAGGGATGGGAAGGCCTTCTAGAGCACTCTGACTAAAGTCCTGGGTGCTGTAGGTTGTTTGAGATGTCCTTCCTGTTAGGAACACAGGACTGGAATGCAGGATGGATCCCTACTCCAACCTCCATGACTCAAAAGACCTTGATGGTGTCATCTGAATGACCTTCATTTCTACCAACACACAATAGCACTTTAACCTTTACACATTCCATAGTTAACAGACACTGGCTCCTATGCCAAAAGTACATTGCTGAGTACCGACTGTGTTCTCAGCATTAGATTAAGCACTTTATATACCTGACTTAATTTAATCTTCATGACAGCTTTGGAGATTAATTATGAGCATCACAAAAAGTAGTTTGCCTAAAATCATAGCTTTACTGAGGAAGCCCCTAAGCCTGGGCTCCTTTCCCTACTTCAAAGTGTGTCTCAGTCAACAGACACCATCCAGGGAGTTGAACAGTGAGTGTAAAAATGTGGTGTGTGTGTGTGTGTGTGTGTACCTGTGTGTGCATTCACATGTGAGCAAGTTTGTGACTTTGTGCACACATGAAAAAGACTCATGTTTTTATGTCAGGGAAGCGAGTTGCTGGTGCTTCCAAATGTTCCAGGGCTGAGTTTGTCCTCTTGCCTTGAGTCCTGGACCAGACTTCCTTGGAAGAGATTGCTCCAGTCCTTTTCATTGTCTTCATTTTCTGTGTAAATGGGAACAATGGGATTTTCTCTTTTTTACTTGTTACAGGATAATGGAGCCCTATAAATACCTGTAATTTATTATGCAGTTGATTTCTTATCCTTTTGAGAATCCAACTTAGCATTTGATATTATAACAGTTTTGATTACTGGGTGCTGGGGAGGTGTGGCCCTGCATTAGTAATTTCTGTTCTCACTAAAGCTATATGTCCCTATCTCCTTGATTTCCCCCAGGACCTCTGAGGTAAGAATTACTACCATCTCCCCAATTTCACAGCTTGGAAAAACTGAGAGGCAGATAAGTTACAGTATGTTTTGAGTCACCCAGAAGCTTCCAGAACTGGATCCTTGATTTGAAGCCCCACCCTCCTCCGGATTCTGCATCAACATATTGGGTGGGTTCCCATCTCTGTCTTCTCTGCTCTGCACCAGTGGTGACCTTGTGGGCCAGAGGCCCTGGCTGGCCCTGTGTGTGCTCAGCTGGTGGCCAATGACTTTCAGAATCAGAGAAGGAGGAAATAGGGGCTCGGCAGGCCTGTGTTCTCGGGTCTTTCAATAAAACATGATCTTCCTGCAGGCAGCCCAGCAGAGTCCCCAGATTTCATTACATCAAGAACTCTCTCAGGGATGTCCTCAGGAAGAGAAAGCTTCACTATGCCCAGAGGGTGGCACCATGGAGACATGGGGTGAGGAGCTACCACAGAGATGCAAAGTTGTTCCAGAGATGTGGTAAGGTGGGTGGACAGGTTCTCGTCATACCCACGCCCACTCTGTCCCACTTATGCTTTCTCCATGTAGGCATGCACAGGTCAGATCATCTCCCTTTTATTAGTGATGGAACAGAGTCCCAGTGATGTGAGGTGATACACTCACTGTCACTCAACAAGGTGGTGGCAGAGCTGGGGGAGGGGCAGGGGTTGAGCGAGTCTACTCTACACAAGGTGTTAGTTTGCTATGTTAAATGACCAGACTTCTGAATGGACTTTTAATTTTGTTTAGAGGGAGCTGCATCTTCTTCTGTTACTCTTAGTTCATGATTAATAATATATACATTCCTGTAGACTCACCATCATTGCTGGTAGGCTCTCTTACATTGCTATGGCATCTCCCTTTCATCCTAATTCGGCCCCCAGAGCGTCTCAGAATACATTTGTAGCCCAATCCCTCCCCTTTTAAGGTGAGCGCCTTTTCCTCATGCAGTGTGCTCGTAGGAAGCAGCCTAATTGCACCCTAAGCTTCTTACTGTGTGTGGTCTCCTGGATGCATGTGTCATGGTGAATAAAGCCCAACTCCATGGGTGGAGTTATCAGGTCAGGGTGTACAGAGAGCTCTGTTGGGGCCTTGGGCTCCAGGGGAGTCAGTGTCTGGAGAGGACCCAACACATCACATATGGGTTCATTCCCCGGTAGCGCCCTCTGCTGCTCTTGGGGACGTTATAGTCTTCTATCTGTGGCAAAGTTCTTGGGGGAGCAGACAGGATGTTTTGCAGTTGCCTCCTGTCTGCCCTGCCCCATGCCTCTGCGCCTCATTATCAGCTGAAGACACTAATTGTCCTCATAAAGATCTGCCTATGTTGGTTCACACTCGAGACTCTCTCTCCATACTCATTGGCTCACAGCCACCCAGGTCCCTCTGCAGGTGGAACAGTGGAAGTGGCCTTGTCCCAGGTCTGGTGGAAGACTTTTACCAGGGCTAGGGTTTAAGAAAAATGGAAGATGCTGGAAACAAACACCAAAGAAAGGTTTTGAGGCACGGAGTTCAAAGTCAGTAGGAGGACCTTAAGAACAGACATTGAAGGTGACGTTTAAGCCAGGGCCTGGGGACAGGGAGTTTTAAAGAGAAGGAGCACGAGTCAGAGGGACACAGAAGGGGATATAGTTGAGTTGCTGCTCAAAGCAGATGCTAGACTTCAAAGTCCATCACTGTGTCCCCTGGTCTGGGCATGCAGGTCCACAGCATCCGCCTGAGGGTGGATGCCATGGTTCAAGGTCATTGGCCATGTTTTGTAGAAGAGGAAAGGCAGGCATGCCGGAACAGTTGTGAAAGTAATCATCAGTACACTCAAAAGTAGACAGTGTCCTCTTTACTGCTCCTCAACCCCTGCCACTTGTCCTCAAAGACTGTGCCATCTGTCCACCCTGTACAGTGACCTGGAGCAGAATGAGCCGGCTGTCCCTTATGAACACCGAGCTGTCAGGAAGCTGTGGTTGGGAGTCAGCAGATGAACATGTCCTAGCTATGGGCTAGTTCACTAAATGCCTTCCACTGCCTGCTCAATGGCGTGTGATGTGTGCTTATTATATATATTATATAAACTATGTATCTTTTTTTTTTTGCTTTTCAAAACAGGTTTTTTTTTCTGTGTAGTCCTGGCTGTCCTTGAACTCTGCATAGATCAGGCTGGCCTTGAACTCAAAGATCCACCTGCCTCTGCCTCCTGAGTGCTGGGATTAAAGGCATGCGCCACCACTGCTAGGCTTTTTCTTTCTTTCTTTTTTTTAAAAATCCTGTCTTTCTGTTGGATAACAAATTCTGGTGTTTCTCACCCTTTGCACTGTTGATGCTTTAGCCTGGAGAGAGTGTAGCTAACACCTCAGCACAGACTGGTGCACACAGGAAATCAACAGAGAGTATGGGATGGTTCTCAAGGCATCTTCATGAGACGGACCATCATATGAACTCAATGGCTCCCATGGTGAAATGCTTCCACAGTTTTGCTGCAGATGTTATGCCAGACTCGACCGTGACACCTCAGACACCTGATGATGGCTGGCCACTGACGGAAGTTGCCTTGTGCATTGTTCCCTGGTCTTAGCATTGCTTGTTTTCACTCCTTCATTCTCTTATGGGTCTGTGGTGAATGTGTAGTCTGGGAGGCTTGGGGAGCCACCAAATGTCCTTCTTGATCACTAGATTCTGAAGAGGACCCAGGATCTGCAGGGGAAATGACACACAGGCATTTTTGCCACTATTTTCTCTGGAGAATCCAGCCTGAAGGGTTTGGTCTCAGGAGTTTAACTTGAACTGTTATCTCTAAGCTGGGACTGCTTTCTTTAAAACTGGGTGATGAAGTATTTTTTTTTACACAATATTTTTATGTGATTATTTGGGAATTTCACATCATGTATCCCTATCACATCCACCTCCAAATCCTCTCAGGTCAGCCCCCGACCCTTGTAAACTGCCCTCTCCCCTGAAGAAGAAGAAGAAGAAGAAGAAGAAGAAGAAGAAGAAGAAGAAGAAGAAGAAGAAGAAGAAGAAGAAGAAGAAGAAGAAGAAGAAGAAGAAGAAGAAGAAAAGCAAAGCAATTCCAAACAAACAAAAACAATTCCAATTTGTGTTGCCCATATACTCACTGGAGCATGGTCAAACTCACAGTGGCCATGTTGATGTTAGTGGTCTGTGCTGCCACAGAGGGACACCTTGGGGTCTGTGATCCTGCTGCAGTTGGTGGTCATGTTGATGTCCACAATCTGTATTACCACTGAAGGCCAGGTGGATGTCTGTGGTTCGTGCTGCCATCTGGGGCCATGTTGATATCCATGGGCCAGGCTACTGTCAGAGGCCACATTGGTGTCTGTGGTCCATATTGCCCCAGAGGCCATGTTAATGTCCTTGGCCTATGCTGTCAATGAAGGTGATAATGGTGTCTGTGGCCCGAGCTGCAGCAGCTTTGTTGATGTGTGTGTGGTCTCTACTGCCACTGGAGACCATGCTGAGGTCTGTGGCACATGCTATCACCAGAAACCATGTGTAAGTCCATGATCCATGCTCTCCCTGACTGTAAACGGCAAGGAAGCTTCTTTTGCAGTGGGTGATGAAGTGTTTTGAGACTGAAGAGCCTTAATCCACATCTCTCTTTTCATGAGTAAACTGAGGTCCCAGGAGGAAGGATACTTGCTCAACATCACACAGTGACTTGGAGATAGTGCTGGACCTAGAACCTGACTTTTGAGTTCTGCCTTGTCTTGCCCTTCACACATGCTGTGTTAATTTCTTTGACCTTCTACATCATGCGCAGTATTGCCCTGAGATTGTTTGTGCTAGCTCAGATTTCAACAGAGTATTTGTTCATTAAAGTATAAAACCCAGAAAAAAATGAAGCATAGCATGCACTAATTTTAAATTGGTAGACTGTAGCTTGAGTTTTCCTGCCTGGCCCACAGTCAGGACAAATCTCTCTCACCTGCCAGTCCCATAGCCACTCAGACCCGACCAAGTAAACACAGAGACTTATATTGGTTACAAACTGTATGGCTGTGGCAGGCTTCTTGCTAACTTTTCTTACAGCTTAAATTAATCCATTTCTATAAATCTATACATTGCCACGTGGCTTGTGGCTTACCAGCATCTTCACATGCTGTGTGTCATCTTGGCAGCTGGCAGTGTCTCTCTGACTCAGCCTTCCACTTCCCAGCTTTATTCTCCTCCTTGTCCCGCCTATACTTCCTGCCTAGCCACTGGCCAGTCAGTGATTTATTTATTGACCAATCAGCAACACACTTGACATACAGACCATCCCACAGCAGTAGACAAACGTAATCATGTTGATTCATGCCATGCAAATGTCAGTTATGGATTACTATCAGTTAATGACATGGGATTACAAGTGCCATACCCCTTATTTTAATGTCTGTAATATAAAAACCTTAGTGATGTCATAGTCACTATCACTATTAAAATGACAATACATAAAATACACTGGTCCATGATGGCTATGATGATGAGGTACTGGAGACTAAAACCAGGATTCTGTGTAGGGCTAGGCTAATGTATCATTGAACCACACTTCTAGCCCCATCAATGGACTGTTTTTAAATAGTTGCAAATTTACATTATTATTTTATTTCTCACTGAGTTTAAATTTCTATTTCTCTTCCCTTTCAGAATTTAAATGAGCACAATATATTTTATATTTAAATGTATTTTGTTAACTACCCTGTCATACATACTTGTATCAAAATATGTACATAATTTGAAACGTAAAAACCAATTTTCCCTGTCTTATTAAGGCTCTTTTAATGTTATTATTGTTTTCTGTATTGGATTTCTATTATAATTATTTTTAATATGCAACTTATTAGAAAAAAATACACATACTGTGAATGACTGTGCCTATTAAATATGAAACATAATTATGATTGGTACCTTTGCCTCTGAAAGATGGGAAGGGGATGGCGGTTAGAGTACTAGGACTCAGAGGTCTGTGGACACTGGTGATTGGAAAGTTGGTTGTGTGCTCCAGAGGCAAGGCAAACATTTCAGATGGGGAAGGGGTATGTATGTCTTTCTTTTGTAGAGAGAGTAAGGATGAGCATGGAAAGGAAGCTGGGAGATGACAGCCACATGATGCCGTTTCCACCCTGGGACATTATGGGGCAGAATTTTAGGAAAAATATTTATAAGTTCAGAATTAAGAAATGGACATAATTGATTCCATTCCCCATGCCCTGGGTTCTCTGGGACTATCTGGTGTTTCCTGTTGCCAATCATCAGGGTGAGGAACCATGGGTCCTTGCCCATCTTTGTCTTGCTGAACAGAGAGGTGCCACACAGCCTGCATTCATCTCTTTCTGTTTCTAGCTCCAATCCACTATTCTAATCTGACTGAGTCATCTTTATCCCATTCTGGACATTTTTTCACATTCACAGACTTTGCTGTGGAATATGTTAACGTGCTTGATGATGGGATGTTCCCTAATGCCTTGATGGATGTTATGTGATATATGTTATATGAGCCACATTCTCTACTATTTTTATTTTTTTGTGTGTGTGCATGCATCTGTATGTTTTGTGTGCATGCATGTTTGTACACGTGTGTGGAGGGGAAGGTTCAGTCTCAGTATGTGATCCACCTTTTTTTAAGGGAGGGTCAGTCTGGTCTAGAACCCACTGATTGTCCAAAGAACCCACGGGATCCTCTTGTCTCCTCATTCCCAGATCACAAGTGCATGCCAGCCCAAGTGGCTTTATTATGTGGGTTTAGGGGACCAAAGTTATTTTTTCATGCTTGCTTGGCATGTGCCTTACTGAAGGAGCTATCTTCCCAGCCCCGGTTCCTTTTTAAAGCCGGGAAACGGCTGGATTTTGAAGCTCCGTGGGTTTTGAATAAAAGATTATGAACCTGTCGCAGATACAGTCTAGTTAGAGGAAGTGAGATTTCAAAGCAGAAATAACGGGGAGTGGAGTTAGAAGGAGGTGGGCTGTGTTCTGGTTTGGTGGAACCCTTAACATGGTTCCAGGATAAGGTTCCTGAGCCAAAATGCAATCAATCCAAGCTGTAGACAGCCTGAGTGACAGAAGAAAGCTAGACTTCTGGATAATTCAAAGACGATGCTACCAAGGCCCAGACAGGAGAGTTTGCCTGAAGTCACACATCCAGTTACAACTGCAGCTAGACAGGGCCGCTAGCGCGTGAGTGACATGGGCGCATGCGCGAACGCACACGCGTGCACGCTGCGAATAAATAAGTCTCTGGTCCTCTTTTTTTTGTTTGTTACTGTTTGTTTGTGTTGCCCTCTGTCAGCCTCCTAGGTTCCTGCTGGGCTGCCCAGTGTTGTTGCATTGTCAACTTCTTTCTGAGCTCCCCGCCCCCTCCATGTTCCCTAGGCTGAAGGCGGGGGGCGCGTGACTGGCCGGTAGTCCCCATGATAGAGGCAGCAGGCATACTAGTCTCCATCACCTGACATCAGTCCCCAAAGCGCTCATGGATCTGTCGGACTCTTCTGGCTGCTCCTCATCCTTACACTGGCAATTCAGTGCCACTTGAGAGAGAGAAAAAAAGGTTGTGAGTTTATTGTTTTAGATGAGCAAGCTTGTGATGCTGACATCCGAGGAGGAAGATTGGTACCCTCACATTCAAAAAAAAAAAAAAAAATCCCCTGCTTTCCTCGTCACAGCACAGGGGGGCACGTCTGGGGCTCAGGGCCTTGGAGTCGAAAGCTACTGAGCACTGGCTGCGCCACAGAGAATCTCTGGCTGTTGGAGATGGGAGGGAACCAGCAGGAAAGGCCCAAAGAAGACAAAGACAAAGGATAGAGGCACAGTCTCTACAGAGGAGCTCAGGCGCATGGGAGACTGGCAGGAGGAACAATGATGGCTCTGTAGGTGGTTGAACTTGGGAACAGGTAAACTCTCAGCTCTTGGCAGGTGGATGGCGGCTCTGAGCTGTGGTGTGTGCTGCCTCCTCTATACCTGCAAAGCCTCTGCACCTGGTCCACTCCCCCACTGGAGATTTGGCCCACATGGTTTCTCAGTCTAGCCCCAGCTCTGGGTATTTGGGTTGCTATTCCCTCCTCTGTGTACTGTAGGCTCACCTTTATCTGTCTATCTATCTATCTATCTATCTATCTATCTATCTATCTATCTATCTATCTATCTACACATCTATCTATCTATCTATCTATCTATCTATCTATCTATCTATCTATCTATCTATCTATCTATCTATCTACGTATCTATCTATCTACATATCTATCTACACATCTATCTATCTACACATCTATCTATCTACACGTCTATCTATCTATCTACACATCTATCTATCTACATATCTATCTATCTATCTACATATCTATCTATCTATCATCTATCTATCCATCTATCTATCTTATCTACCCATCTACCCATCTATCCATCATCTATCTATCTATCTATCTATCTATCTATCTATCTATTAT